AATTAGTTGTGGAAGAAACAGCTTAAAGTAACCTTACCTAGATAAACCTAGATAAAAGTTTGACTGGCAATAAAGTTGCAGCAACTTTCATTACCATCTGATCAGAAACTGAACCTTCTCAAACGGCCTCATTTACCTCAGCATCAACCGCTGCAAAATCGATCAGAAACGCGAAGTTAGAAAAGTTTATTAGAAAGAAACCCCTCCAGTGTCCATTCAGACTAGTCTTGTCCATGCATTTGTTTTCCGACGAGCTCTGAAACGTCATCTAAGATCATTTCTTCCAGACTCTGTTTAAATTCCGCCATTGCCGCTTCCAAGCTAGAATAAGAAACGAGGGCTCTTGCCAAATTTAATCAAATGTCCTTCATACCATTGCCGTTATCGAACGTCATGCGGGCTACATCGTTGTCCGGGCTACCAAAGGAAATGATGCAGACTGTGAAAAATCGGCGATCAGAACCTGCTTTCCGCCTTCCGGCAGGTGAATCGTATTGGCACCAAAACCGCTGCCGAAAATCAACAAGACGATGATACCAGTCAGCAAAAGAACCGCTACCCGTTCTGGGAGGAGGCAGACAGGGCAATGCTATTATAGCAGGCCAGGTAAGACAAAACGGGAACAGCAGCGACAGTGGGAGATTACAGTCAGAAATTGGAACATTTCTTAACTTAGAAAAAGAGCAGAAGCCAATTCATGTGGGCGCAAGGTACTCGACATATTTAGAGTCTCGTTAACGAAGCGCCAGGGCTCTGGAATTCTGAATCTCTGAAGATTGAAGCAATTCTATTCAGTTGTCGATTTCATGAAATGCGCTAAAGCTGGAGTTGGTGTTCTGGTAGAACCAAATCTGACTTAGAATAACTGAATAGAAACGTGTCAGCGCAAGAGTAGCGCTAATCTAAGTGAAGTTATAACAGTCCACAGCACTGACCTTGTAACATGTCTACGCGCTGAATTCAAAAGGAAAGTATGAGCCATTCTTGGAGGAAGTAGAAAGTGCTTTGTAAGAAGTCCCGACTACAGAATATAGTATTCTGATGGGCGATTTCAACGCACATATCAGAATAGACACTAAAAAATGGTAAAGCGTGACTGGTAAGAGTGGCCATAGCGACTTCAACAATAAGGTAAGTGAAATAAATAATAGTGAAACAGTTTTTCTTTTACAACTTTTGGCGGCCAAAAGAACCGTTTAAGCAGGCCACGTTTCACGGTACAAAATCGTGTTCGGATACCAGCCGATATTCTACTATCCGTAGGCATATTTATACATAAAAGTAAACGCTCATCTTATCGATTTACTATGATACTACTAGTTTTCTGTTTCGCCACTAAGAAAAATTTTTTTCTTTTATTACGGGATTTACACAGCTTAGAGGCACCGTCTCTTTGCCTCAAGGAGCTCAAATACCATGGATCCGTGACCTGCTTAAATGGTCTCCTAGGCCGCTAGAAGCAAGGGGACAATGCCTATATGCCGTATAAATCATTTAGTAAAGGAATGCTATTTTTTTCGTAACGGCGGTATCGAAAACTAGTAGTGTGCTACTAAACCGATAAGATCGGTGTTTATTTTATGCATAAGTTTGAGTGAAGTTGTTCCAGTTTTGTGCAAACAACTGGTTGTTCATTATGAATACATTCTTCGAACATCGAAAAGGGCATCAGTACACTTGGCACAGGGAAGCTTGCGCAGAGAAGTTGATGATCGATTTGATAATCGTATCGTCTGACTTACGTCGCTCCGTAATGGATGTTCACATGCAAAGAAGCGCAGGACAGTCAACCAATCAACACCATATTGTCGGTCCCATCCGCAGTAAACGATGAAGACGTGGGGGTGGAAACACCTTGTGGATAAAACGGGAAACATTAACTTTTGCGGATACGACAGCAAAACTTGCAAACAATAATGCACGACGGTTTGAACAAATCTCAGTGATAACCGTTGATGCTGAAACCGAGTGAAAGCTCCTCTAGAGCAGCTCGGGGCTGCCGCCGAATGCTGTGGTCTAAAACTGATCGACCTGCCGCCTAAGGGCCAGTAAAGAACTTCTTGGTGAAAAAGGGAGGTTCAACTGGCTGCCATCGAAAAGAACGCTGCATTCAAGAGACGGACTGGAAATAAATCACCTTCAACTCGAACACAGTAAGAAGAAACGCGAAGGCGGCAGCGAAATCACTGGCCAGAGCGAAGCTGATTCCTGATATAAGTTCGGCGAGGAGCGGCAGAATAACTAAGGTACAAACAGAGCATTGTGGCTTCAGGTTAGAACGAAGCAATTCTGATAGGATCTTTGCCTTTCGCCAGATTGTCCAGAATTCCTGGGAGTTCGCTCAATCGGTTTAAGTAATATGTTGACCAGAAGAAAGTCTATGACAGGATCCCGCGCAACAATCCATAGGCGTTCCTACAAAGTATGGGATTGACAGTCAGTTCCTAAGTGCATCCAGTCATTATATGTTGATGGCAAGTGCTGCAACGGCTTTAAATCGAAACCTTCCACCGTTGGCACTGGTCTACATAAAAGCTGTGCTCTATCCTCTCTCATATTTGTGTTGTACATGGACAGAAGAAAGAGACGTAGCCAGGGAGTGGAGTGTATCAGTGTCAGAAATTTCCAGGTTGCTGCTTGCAGACGACCTTCTTGTGTTGGCATATTCTGAAACTGATTTCCAACGCTCTCTGGAAAGGTTCGCAGATGAGTGCGACGTGGCCGGCGTGCGTGTGAACTATCTAAAATGAACCACTTTGTTCTTTCTAGTTCGGCTGCCCTTTGTGCTCTCACAGCAGGTGGAAAAGTTCGTGTACACCTATGGTAGTGTATACTGGTGATGGAAAATGGGAGGAAGAGATCGACTGGCGAATTGAAACGGCCATCGGCGTTCTGCAGGAACTCCCCCGAACTGCTGTGACTAAAGCGGAGATGAGTCTGAAGACTACGTTCCAAGTGTTCAAATCGAACTTCAGTCCCATGCTCATCTACGGTGATGAGTCGCGTACCGTGAATGAAACACTTCAATCTCGAGTATAAACTGCTGAAATGGGGTTTCCGAGACAAATCGCTAGACTCACGCGTCTACACTGTTCTCAGATCAGAAATTCGAGAGCGCCTTAATGTGCACCTACTGATTCTTCAGATTGAGCTGCCACAGCTGCGATGATTTGGTCAAGTCTTGCGAACGTATCTAGAAAGGAAGGCGAAACAGCTACTACCTGCCCAATTGACCGGTCGGAAATCCCGGAAACGGCCAAGAATGACTGGAGGAAATGTCTTGAAGGACTCTGCTCCAGACCCGGGCAATCTTCTGTCGATGCTCAAACGTTGGCACAGGCTTAGGAATGTTGAAGACACCGTCTGATGTGTGTACCTCTGCGACCCGAAAGGATAAGAGGTAATAGAAAACGACTGACTGACGAAGTTACAACAGAGACGGTTTTGAGCGCTTATAGCAAGGCGATTCCGTTCTCAGACATGCACTATGCACTAACAATACGACTGGCTGCTTAGCCGAGACAACCGCAATCGTAGACACGACTGTCGTTGTGCCGCCTCATGCAAAGATGGTTCTGGTCCTGAAGTATGTCGTACGGAATCGACTCAAGGCATCCCGTTATTTCAGGGAGAATTGGAAATTCTGTTCGCCTTAGGGTGGGTGCTTGAGTCAGATATCTGTTTGGCTCCGGCGAATTGAAGGCTTTTCACACTCCTTACTAGCATTAAATGCTTATATGACTATGTCGCAGCGGTTGCCTGAATTATTTCCACGGTTTGAGTCTAACAAGGTGGTGAGGGTCTAACAAGTATTTACACATGCGGAGGTCTTTCATACCCTACACCTTGCGATACTCCTGTACGCGACTTTCAGGCTTCGAGTTTCAAACCGGAAATGAAGCATTCTTGTGACGGTCCTTATAGCGGACTGCCGCAAGGTTCAGTCTTAGCACTCTTGCTGCTGAGAATCCAGACCAGATATGTTTTGAACACTGTCCCGGAAGTTAGTTCACGCCGACATAATAGCACTGACATTTTGACACAGAAATTCTAACTACATCAGCTGTATCTTAGTACCGATCTGAAGACAGTGGAGGACTCTAACTACTCCTGGCGGCTCTGACCCAGTCCATCAAAAACAACGATTAAAGTTTCCAACTTTGCAAACGCTTAGCAACAGCGACATTCCAACCGACTTTCTGCGGTGGCCAGTTAGAGACGCGGAAAATTCGAAACGCCGGAGTGACGCTATAACATTATATTCTGGAAACACATACGAAATGCCTGCACGAGTACCAAGACTTAACCAATTCTGAACACTAACATATCGGGACGAATTTGGAAGCTGAATATCATACAGAGCGAACAGTAACTTTGGCTATCGTATACTTCACTGTTGAAATCTGTGCATTCATTTGGCTCTACAGCAGCTGCATTCGATATCTCGACGCTATCCTCAACAAGAACATTAAGACCATGGCAGAACCGCCATTTATTAAAATGGAACTGAGAGCATGGGAAACCGCTATAAAGTGTAACAGGCTATCAGTAAAACAAAGCAACCTTCCCAATGACAATTTCGACTATTCTGAACCCTAGTTATAATGCTAACACTTCAGGCTAAAACATTTCGCGCAGAAATTACAAAACTATCTTATTCGCGTTTTGTTACATAATGAAATGATACTCATCAACTTTACCTGACCAATTCCGATAATCAGCAGTACTACGCTTTGCCCGATCGACCACCAGAGCACTCTTTCATTCAGGTCTTCAGCACGCCTTCTTCCAGTGGCTTCTCGGAGACGATGATGTGTTTGATAGTCGTCTATCTGCTTTAACTTCTCGTGGATTTCGTTTGTAGTACTCTCTAGCTGAAAACAACGATGATGGAATATTTATAAGGTAAAAATCGAACATTCAAACTCCTATCTATATGAGCCTAGTAAAATGAAGAGTTAGATTCGTTAAATAAACAGAAAATGTTACTTTTCTTCTGCAGAACTTCATTTCACACCATGGAACAAAACATGGTAACCAAATTCATGTCATTTCTTCGCAAAGCTTTTCTTGCACAGCGGTAATCTTTTCTCGAAATTAACCGCTTCGAGGGTTACAAATGACATCAAACAGCTTACACTTACCAATGTCATTGCTCTGAGGTCTTCAGGTCTAGGTACCACCTGTTTTTCTTTACCAACAGTCCAGTCCATGTAAACAACCTTGTGAGTGAAAGTCGAGAACTCGTTGGAGAAACAAACCTAAACTAATCATTGATTAGAGAGAATAATGGATATCGAAATTCGTTATAATATTATTTTTGTAATCGTCACTAGGAACGCATAAAAGAATCTGCCGCTTCAGATTTGCAGCGTTCAAAAGGAATTTGACTTTATCAAAGCAATCTAAAAGTCTGTAAATTGTAGGGTCCCATATGAGCCACGGCGATATTTCAGTAATTCACACCCTATCTATCAACAAACGGGAAACTTGCTTTATAAAAATCAGCACAGTTTCTTTAAATCAACAGAAATCAAAGGAAGCAAAAAGAATCTAACGCTCTTAACAAATCCCTTCTCGGCGTACTAGTCGCGAAAAACGAGAGTTAAACATAATGAGCGACTGCGTGAGAGGGTAGTGTGTGACTGAGTGTTTTCCATCAATGGTCGATCAACGAAACAGCGGTGCATTACAGACTTCTTCATGCTTGCAAGAA